TCTCCATCTTATCAGTCTTCTTCTTCTTCTTCTTTCTTCTTCTTCTTCTTCTTCTTCTTCTTCTTCTTCTTCTTCTTCTCGTCAGTCTTCTTCATTTTTTGTCAGTCTTGTTCTTCTTCAGAATGAAAGGGTCGATAACATGCATGCAGCAGACATCAGACCAGCAGGCAACAAACATGCAGACCCACCAACCCAGTACATATCAGATGACATACATTCAGCACACAGCAGGCAACATACATGCAAACACCCCCCCAACCCCAGCTCCCCCCACCCAGACCAACCCCCCCACAAACCAAAATTTTATTCCAGATTCCGGGTCCTCTCGCCGAGCGCAGAACGACCCCGATTTCAAAAAAAAAAAAAAAAAATTCTGGGCAGTTTTTTGGCCCAACTGGTTTACCCGGGCGGGCCCAGCCCGGCCAGGCAGGCCCGGCCGGGCGGCGTCCTCACTGATCTTTTATAAATAGAAAGAATGTCCTCATTCTGTTAATGACACTTAATGTCAATTCAGTTACCGATAGTCGCTGTCAATTTGATCTTCTCAAAGTGCTCAAAATCAGTCCATGGGTATGCGATAAGATAGTGGGCATTCATACAAAAGATTTCTCGAAAATGGCTATCATTATAACGCATCATATTTATTTGGCTTTGAAGTTTGATGAAACGGTTTTCACCTTTCGGCGGTCACGGATGCGGGCCCTAGAGTTCGAGCCCCAGACCTCACTTTGCCATGTACAGTATCGAGTCGACCCCCGAGTGTTTGAACCCGTGATCTGTGTTTTGGTAGWTGYTTGTCGTCTGTCGTAGGTCCGTGTAGAGGTAGGGGTTTGATCTGTAGGTCTGTCGATTAGGAGTCACAGCTCTGTAGAGGTCGTGGCTGTAGATGCTCTGAAAGGTCAAGGTCGTAGCTGCTACAGTCCTGAAAGGTCAAGGTCGTAGCTGCTACAGTACCCGAAAGGCCAAGTCTACAGCCTTCCGGAAGGTCCGGAAGTGGCTTTTTCGAAGTGTCCCACGTTTAGTCAGAGGCCAGTGGGCAAGTGGTGGGCCTTTAGTCAGAGGCAAGTGGGCAAGTGGTGAGCCAACTGCGTTACGTCGGCAGTGCGACTGCATCGAGTTGGCAGTGCAAACCCATGCAGTCAGCGGCACCGGTCCCAGTCAGTCAGACTCCAGTCAAGTACCATGTGGGACTGTGTGCACCAAGGGCCTGGGAAAGGGGCAGACCAACGAGTTACAGAAGTATAAATCAAGAGGCAGCGCCCAGCCATTCATTCATTCGCTGCGTAAGCCATGCGGAAGCGCTACTACAGCATCTTGTGCGAAGGTGGTCTGCAGGTTGCCCTAGGTAGAAGTGGGCTGAAGGGAGACATAGTAGCCATAGTAGTATTGGCGAGCTGCCATAGCCGCCGTAGGGTAGAGGTATCTGATAGAGCGTGCGTGTGTGGAGTATTCAGGGTGATCCAGAGTGAGCGTGTGTGAACAGTGGGGTTGGACACAGTGACAAAGGTTGGGATGTTCAGGTGCTGACGCGCCATAGCCTGTTGAAGCAAACTTGCATCTGAAGTGTGTTCTTGATTTCCATCTCTAAGCTTTGAGTGGGCGCCCTGTGCCAGTGTGAGTCTCCATCTGTTCGCATGTGTGCGAAGTGGAAAGAAAGTGAGTCTGATTGCATTGAAGTTTGAGCTTTACCCCTCTCCTTTCTACTCCAGCAAAATGAGCAGAAGTAGGAGGCTGCATTGACCCCCACAGTTGCTCATATTTCTGAATTTTTCTGCGAATTGCTGTCAGTCGGCCTCATTCGCTGAGACTACCCAAGTCCAAGTCTGTCCGCTGGGTCGCATGTGCGTACGAGAGTCTATGGGATGCCTCTGCTGAGTCCGAGTCTGTGTCCAAGTGTTAAGTCTTAAACACTGTTCTCATGCTGTGTTTGTGTTCCTGGAGGGGTAGAACTGCATATAGCTATACTTGCAGGGGCAGGACTGAAATTGGACGCTGGACACACGTAGAGGAAATTCTAAAATGGACACGGACAACAGTAATTGATAAAAAGTTATAAAAAAAAAGAACATAGGATTTTCCAGAACCCAGACCTCCTCCTAGTTATGGATCCATACTTTCTGGCCTCGTACCTCCTCCGCGAAAGCACCGATTGCCCGATCGCGCACACAGGATGTAACCTCCACAGGCGGGTTCGGGTACGTCAAGGAAGGTCTGGTAGCTTTCAGTAGGTCATGATGGTCCGGGGCCTGAATGTAGGTGGATATCCAGTTAGATTCCTGATTCAGGCCCTGAAGGCAAATTCCAGGCTGGATTTGCCCCAGTAAAAATACTGAAGGCCGCGAGCCAAGAGTTTATCATTCATTCGGTGCAATGATAAGTCCAGGCATTCACGGAGCGGTCATGCCTCCGTCATCCTCAACTCCGTCCCGAGGGAGGTCTCTATTGTCGATTCCCTCCATCCTCACTTCCGTCCCGAGGGAGAGCTAAGGTGGAGCTCTAGGTGGAAGGAGGAGGAGCTGAGGGCGGGGAAGACAACCTCCGTGGTTATGGAGTAGCAGTAGCAGTAGAAGGAAGAAGGCCTAGACTACGGAGGTAGATGCAGAAGAACCTCAAACTAGGCTACGGAGGTAGGTGGAAGAGGTGAGCGGAGGTGAGGATGAAGGAGGGAATCGACAAGAGAGACCTACCTTTTGCTATCGCGGACCTTCATCTCCACTTCCTTGGTTGGTGCTGCATTCATGAGGCCCCTGTTGGGGTCCCGGTTGGACACATGGACGTCACCGGGGAGTGTGGCTATGGCAGAATGAGATAAGAAGTCATGATAGCTGCACAGCTATCATGACTTCTGGTCTCATTCTGCCATAGCTTCTGGCCTCATTCTAACATAGCCACACTAGCTGGAGAAGGCCCTGATCAGGTCTACTGCACATGGATGAGCCGCCATAGCTCGATATGCAACCATGCAACCATGCAACCATGATAGCAACAGCACTGTGTTGTCCTCTTCGAGTGCCGACAACCCAATGGCATATCCAGCTATGGTGGCTCTTTGACTGCTGCCAACCCATAAAAACAATAAAAGCAACAGCACTGCGTTGTCCTCTTCGAGTGCTGACAGTGAAGGGGCATTGTTCGGACATTAATTCTTGTTCATTCATTGTTGTACTTAAACCACCAGTACCTTTGTCCGTTTGAAAATACTCGGCCTCCGACCTTTCAGGAGGCCGAAACGAAACGACAGCCGCCTATCAGATTGATCAAGTCGGGCTCAGCCTCCTGAAAGTTCGGGTACTGGCCAGGACTTGTCGAAAGCGGACGCCAAAGGTACTGGTGGTTTAATTGGTTATTATTATAAGAGGAGATCTTGTGTTCTCCTTTTTCTTCCGTCTTCCTTCAGCGTTCTTCTTCTTCTTCTTCTTCTTCTTCTTCTTTTCAGCGTTCTTCTCTCCTGGTGTGAGTTTTTTTTTTTTCAGCGTTTTTTTTTTTCAGTTGCGATGCATGGCATTGTGTTGTGAGTTTTCCATTTTTCCATTATGAAAACTCAGCAGGACCATAGCAAAGTTGAAATTGAAATTCCATTATTCCAGGCAATAACCACCAGCCCATGTGGCTGAATGGTACACCCATGTGATTGTTATCGAATGGGGCATGAGTTTGAATATCAGAGTTGAACCAGATAGATTCAACAAGGTCAGGAGCTAAAGAAAACAGACAAAAAAAAAAAGAAAGGACACAAATGTAACTCCCAAGTTTCAAGCCAGTACGGTAGCAAACTGTAGCATTCGTAAACATACGTCCGATGTGTCCATGGCACTCCATGCTATTGCAAATCGCACAATTCGAAACGCATTCCTCCCTCTGACTTCACAAACGCCTTATGTCTTTCGAATCCTTTTTTTCATTCTTTCAATTTCCTTGTCATCCGTCGATGTCCATTAAACGAAACCCGAATTTCGAATTTGTTAAAGTAGTTTATTAACTTTATTTCAATCCAAACAGGATACATGGATCGGATGGAGGAGGACCCGTAGAGGAGAGGACAGAGGGAAGTGCAGATGTGGGGCAAAGAGCGGTCGACGAGCGGTCAAAGAGTTAGGGAAGACATTCGGAGAAGTTATGGGAGGAGGTTCGAAGGAGAGGAGCAACGCACATCAACAAAAAATCTTACGAATGACAGAATTTAGCGAACGACATCAAATAGTGCTGTGATGTCAACAGAATTTGCTCTTTGCAGGGCAAAGAAGCAGTCAGATTAACGTTAAACAACCAGAGGCACACTTTTTTTCTGCAGGCCCCTTTTATTACATGTGGGCCTGCAGGCCCCTTATTACTGCAGACCAAGCTTTTTTTTTTTTTTTTTTTTTTTGAATCTTTACCAAAAACGTCAACGGGACAACGGACTGGACTTTTCTCAGAAAAGTCCAGAGTTCTTGCACAGCACAAAACAAAAACGATGCTGCAAAGGTAATGGCTCCCCAAACAAAACACGGAAAGATAGGCCCACTTTTTTTTTCTGCAGGCCCCTTATTACTGCGGACCAAGCGTGCTTTTTCGAACCGCAAGAGGCGGACTTTTTTTTTCCGTTTTGGAAGGCACCGCTAGCCATTGTGGTCAGGTAGGCCGAGCCTCCAAAATTTTCATAGGCTATGGGTTTCTTTTTCAGCAAGGCTGGGGCCGTGAAATGGCGGTTTAAGTGGAGGTAAGGGTGGACGTAACGCAGCAACAAGAGGGGGTATGAAGGCAGCCACACCTAAATCCAAGGCCGATTGGGATCCCATGGGAATTACCTTTTGAAAGTGACCAGAGAATCCGGCGGTGTTGAAATACACGTGCCTTCCTAAAATATTGATTTGCGTCCTCAAGAACAAGCCTAGAAGACTCAATGAATAAAGTGCACAGAGAGCCCGCGTAAAGCCTGCAGCCATCCAGCCAGTCAGCCAATCAATGACAACGATGGATCGATGTCAGTAGCACAATGATATGCATGCACCTGAGCAGCCTTCTCTCATTGATTCATCTGATCCCCATTTTTTTAGCAATCACATCATGTGATCAGTATTATGATGTCACACTTCCATAGAATGAAAACAACCTACTATTTTATGAGTCTCATGCTTCAACTGAAATACTGATGCTTCAGCAAATACGATCATTCTAAATAATGCCTTTTCAGAAGAGGAGCCAAAAAAAAGAGAAGAAAAGGCTCTCTCTCTCTCTCTCTCTCTCTCTCTCTCTCTCTCTCTCTCTCTCTCTCTCTCTCNTCTCTCTCTCTCTCTCTCTCTCTCTCTCTCTCTCTCTCTCTCTCTCTCTCTCTCTCACACACACACACACACACACACACACACACACACACACTACTAATTTATGAGTCTGCTTCAACTGAAATACTGATGCTGCAGCAAATACGATCATTCTAAAAAAAAAAAAAAAAAAAAAACATACACCCGGCCCACACAAACAATACAGCTGCACACGTTCACACCATCTCTCAAGGAGAGAAACGCAAGAGGTGGCCCTGTATGCTGAGCCCGTTCAGAATTGGTCCTCTGGCTCAGCATTTGGACTTCTATCCTAGAATTGATAGTGCCCCTAGGTTAACCACCCACCTCCTCACAAGCAGGGAGGCCCTTTCACCTGTTGTCTGCTGAAGTGCTCTATGCCGCATCTATCACTCTCTATCCCCCACCTGGCTCTCCATTCAAATGGTTTGTTTGGTGGCTTCCGGCGACCCCAAGTGGGGGATAAGAGAGTGCAAGGAGAGGGACTGCACTGTAATCGTAAAGATGGTGGCCCTGCTGCAGAGTCCATGCCATCAGGGGATAAGCGGGATGGGTTTGGTACGGTGGCTATAGACTACTGCTCCACTCCTGTTCCTTGTACGTAACTGGTATATTTCTAGGAGTCACAAATGACGGGTCTCTGCGCTGCCCCTCTCAGAAGTACCAGGCTGCCTGCTTTCTGCGTATTTTCCTACGTTCTTCATCGGAATACAACGTACGGTCATTATAGCTGTATTTGGGGCATCTTTCAGTCTAAATACAGCTATAATGACCATAAGGTGTATTCGGGGGGAAGAAGGTAGGGCTGTTACAAATGGGTGGGCAGAGAGTTGTGGTCCTGGTCTGTGTCGTCAGGGGGGGGTACGATTCCAACAGATGGCTGTATGGGGGGTTCTAGTCCTATACAGGTGGCTTTATAGGGAGCTCCTGATAGGCTGGCTCAAAAGGGCGCGTAGCACCGTAGGGCGCATCTGATGTCAACAGTGGGAGTGCTACCTTCTTCCCCCGAACATAACGCATATGCGTTGTATTCGAGTTTCAAAATTCAAAAAAAAAAATCGAATAGAACGCATATGCGTTGTATTCAAAATTTCGGGTTATTCGAATAGAACGCATGTGTGTTGTATTCGAACAGAACGCACCCTATGCGTTGTATTCGTTTACAACGCATATGCGTTATGTTCAGGGGAAGAAGGGGTAGTCCTGGCCTGTGCTGTCATGCTGTATAGCATTCCGACAGGGGTAGTGCACTGCAAATAAGGAAACGCAAAAACGCAAAATTGTGGGGACGGCATAGGAATATATACTAAGAAAGGAGGATCTGGCAGATTTCTTTTTTTTTATTATTTTTTTTTTGTTTGTTTGTTTATGGAAGAAGTGTGCCACAATTATGGTATACGTATCAGGGGATTGTGAAAGAAGTGTGCCGCCAATTATGGTATATGTATCAGGGGGACCTATGTAACATGGAATCAAGTCTTTGGAAGGAAACGTATTGGGCAGCGCAGGACAGCGCAGCTCCGACGCAGACTCAACACCGCACGTACTCCAACAGTGCAAAAATGAAGAAGAAGAAGAATGACGAAAAACAGACAACGGCTGGGGTATACCCCCAGCGGACTGACCGACTGGACTGGACTGGCCTGGTACCGACAGTGGTACCGGGCAGGACTGGACTGGACTGAACAGTACCCGGCCTGTGGGGTCAGGCCACGGCCTGGTCCCACAGGCCGAACTGGCAAATAGCTGGATAGGCCCTGGCTGTAGGCCAGGGCAGATAGAGGCCCGCTGCACAGATGAAGCTTAATGGGGTAATGAGGTTGAAGAAATATGGGAACTGAGGAGAGGAAGAATGCAGAGAGGGTTAGGATGCTAATCAGGGGTACATCGCTGAGACTACCTTCTTCGCCCGAATAGAACACCCGGTAATTATAGCTGCATTTGGGGCAACTTCCAGTCCAGATACAGCAATAATTACAGGGCGTTCTATTCGGGTGAAGACGCTAGGAATATGTCACTGGATACTCAGAGGAGTCTACGAACAACGAGCTGAGGGCACACTCGACGCATAGGGACTTTTTGAACTCACTTATGGCCGTGATTGCAGTCAGATGCATGCAGTCGAAGCTGCAATTTCGGTCAGATACATCCAGTGCCGTCAGATGCATGCAGTCGAAGCTGCAATTTCGGTCAGATACATCCAGTGCAGTCAGATGCATGCAGTCGAAGCTGCAATTTTGAACAGATACATCCAGTGCAGTCAGATGTGTGCAGCGTGCAGTCAAAGCTGCAATTTCGGTCAGATACATTCAGATATCTGACCGAAATTGCAGCTTCGACTGTGTGCATCTGACGGCAATCACGGTCATGTGTATCAGACCAAAATTGCAGCTTCGACTGCATGCATCTGACTGCAATCACGGCCATAGGTGGTTCACAAAGTCCCTATGTGAGTATGCCCTCATCCAGGAACTGGATGCTTCTGACCGAAATTGCAGCTTCGACTGCATGCATCTGACTGCAATCACGGCCATAGGTGAGTTCAAAAAGTCCCTATGCATCGAGTATGCCCTCATCCTTCTGACCGAGATTGCAGCTTTGACTGCCTGCTTCGAGAGTTCAAGAGGAACCGGATGCGAGATTCATAATGGGTAAGTTCCGATCTACAGTTACCGATGCACAGTTACCGATCCATAGTTACCGATCTACAGTTACCGATCCATAGTTACCCATCCAAAGTTACCGATCCGATCCACAGTTACCGATCCACAGTTACCAATCCACCGTTACCGATCCACAGTTACTGATCCATAGTTACCGGTCTACAGTTACCAATCCACAGTTACCAATCTACAGTCTCAGAACAAGAAGAACAGAGTGTGTGGGTAGCGGTGCGAGTCTCCAGGCGATATATGGTCTACAGGCTGTACGGCGGATGGGTATGGGTGCTGCAGAGGGACGAAGTTGGCAGACTGTCTTGGGGCTGCAATTGCCCCTCCCTTTCCTTCGCCCTCCTCTCATTTCTTTATCATCCTGTTTCTGTTTGTCTGAGGGGGTTAAGCAACTGGACTGCAGCCCTGCAGAGTAGGTGGGGCATGTGTACGTGTGTTTAGAAAAGTAAATTAAAGCATGCAAGCGGGCACAAAAGACGGTTCAAGGAAAAGGAAAAACAGAGAAACGAGAAAAAAAGAGAAAAAAAAAGAGACAAACTACCGGCTATCTGAAGCTGGGTGTAACCCCTTCACAGATGCACCCTACACCCTAAAACAAAACAAAAAAGAAAAAGACCACGTGCGAGCCTTTTTTTTTTTTTTTTTTTTTTTTCCCCCTGGCAATTCGTAACTCTCCTCATACTGTCAGATGGGGGGACTAGCTGTGATTGTGTCCTCGGTCCACTACACAACATTTTAAATGCATCTGGACTGCTCTTTGATTCAGATGCATTTGGACTGATCCAACATGTTAATGTTTCGGGACCGCCACCTGATCCTGAAGCACTTAGAATGTCGTCCGGTGGAGCAAGGCCCATTAACTCCTCTCGCACTCCTCGCATTCTCACTGTCTCTGCTGGCAATTCCAGGTGTTTTACGGAGCTTTTACCAGATACACAGTATTACACACCCACACAGGCTCACACCCTATTCCAACCCGTCTCCCAAGCGACCCGGCCAACTGTCACCACAAGACGGCTAATCCTCCTTCCAGTGGGGCCAACCCTCCTTCTAGTGGGGCCAATCCTCCTAGTGGGGCCAATCCTCCTAGTGGGGCCAATCCTCCTTCTAGTGGGACCTTGCCCCAGAGAATAGTGAACTCATAGCCTGCTTTTCTAATCACATAATAATAGTATTTATCACAATGTTCATCTTTTTTTTTTCTTCTTTTTTTTTTCACAGGTTGGGGCAACTGAACCACCAACTTTTTTTTGCTCTCCTCTAGGACTTAGATCTTACAGAAACGCCCGAAATGATATGACAAATGTCTTTGGCACCGCACATTCTACGCAAGCAAGCAAGAAGTACTTTTGAATATGTGGCGGGGTCGGTCCGACCCTGCTTTTGGTAATAATGGTAGCGGGACGGGAAGGGCGCACACAAGAGGCCAGCTTTCACAAAAAGCGCTCTGGGTCCATTTACAGATTCTAAAATAAAATCTTTAAATCCAAAACACTTTGAAGATGAATTCAAATGTCAAAACAAAACAAAACAAAACAAAACAAAACAAAACAAAACAAAACAAAACAAAACGAAACAAAAAAAGGCAACAGAAGAAAGAAAATGTACAAAAAAAAAAAAAAAAAAAAAAAMCCWGAAAACTTGATATCCCAAAAATAATAAAGATCCTTTTTAATGTACAGAAAAAGGAGGGAAGTTCAGGGAACGTACTCAAGATTTTTATGTCCTCCCATATCAGCTTCCTATCTGATGAACTAAGCGCATCTGGAGCGACCTTTCCAACCATCAACTTCTCCGTCAACGACTGCAGATCAACGCGCTCCTTGAGACTATCCTTCAGATGCAAGAGCAAAGATGGGAGGGTGGTGGAATCAGCGATCCGCTGGATACTTTCGAAATGATCCTGCAACCTGCACATCCCCAGAAAAAAAAAAAACACAAAAAAAAAAGAAAAAACATTTTTTCAAAAATTGACCATCCTCTCCATTGTCTCCAAACAAGGAGAGAGATAAACCCATGGTAAAAACCCATGGACACCTCCAAATTATCAAGGTCCTAAACTGGCACCCAATCGGCAAATTACCTCAGTCAACCCAATCGGCAGGTACACAGAATACGCCACAGCAGAATACACGTCAAGGATGCTGTCAGAAGTAAGGACGCAATGGAGGATTAGGAAAAGCGGATTAGAGAAAGAGGGTTGGAAAAAGCGGATTAGAAAAATAGGGTTGGAAAAAGTGGATTAGAAAAAGAGGGTTGGAAAGAGGATTAGAAAACAAAGTAGAAAAAAAAAAAAAAAAAGAGTTCAGGGGGAAAAGAAAAATAGAATTAAGGACATCTCCAACAACGAACGAAGACTTGAAATTGCCAAAAATGCGACAGATAACTGCCAACAGACATGAAAACCACGGCAATCCCAAGAGTGCGCGCGAGATACGCCCTACACACGAATTGCTTCGCGAGGTTGGACCGGTAGCAGTCTGGCGGCCTGGCCTCCTTGCAAAACACAATTGCAGTGCACCATCATCAGATTCCCATCACTACGGTTGGAGTGTTGCACTGCCGAACGTTTTTTTTTTTTTGCCGATCGACACATTCAACCTCCACTAAGGTGCAAGATCTCCAGCCGACGTCGGCTCACATTTCTGATTCGACAAAATAGGCTCGGCTGCACTCGTGGTTAGGTTCGGGATCTCAATGATGGTCGGTTCAAATTTCTGGTCTGTTCCAATCAAGCAGGAGGGGGGGTATAATCACTGACCGGCAGGCGGAAAAGGAGGAGGGCCCTCCCGCAGTACATCCGTTAAAATTGGAGTGATACACAGAAGATTCTATTTTTATTTTTTATTTATTTTTTTAGCAGCTCACAGAAGGGACGTCGAAGGCTACCGGTATGGAGTGGTCGGAACAAGTCCTGTGCGACCTGATACACAAAAGATAAGCATGGTCCAAAAAAAAAAAAAAAAAAAAAAAAAAAAAAAAAAANCCAAAAAAAAAAAAAAAAAAAAAAAAAAAGAAAGAAAGAAAGAAAGAAAGAGGGAACGAACAGGCCTAACTGACACTCCCCAAGACGAATGCAGTGGTTAAAAATGTGGCAATCACTTGACACTATGCGCATTAACAATTGAAACAGTTAATAATAACTATTAAAAAGTAATAATAACTTAATAAAGTTAATATGCATGATGGCACGTTCACAGCATACACATGGTACGAAACTCAGAAAAGTACAAAAGTATTATGATGATTATTTGAGCAGGAAGGCGTCCCCGACGCCGCCGCGTTTTCAACAACGACCGCCACATCGTCATCCTGAGGGGTATCGAGGGGGGGTAGCCATCAACATCACCCAAATACCCCTCACCCACTTCCGTTCGAGTCATCCCCACTCGAACCTTCCGTGTTTAGATGACCGCCATGTTTGCCATGTTGTCATCCTAAGGGGGTAACCACCAATATCATCAGATTCATCACCATAATTTTCTCCCTCCGTTCCACTCACCCACTTCCGTACCAGCAACTCAGCAGCGGCGGGCCTCTACTTACCCTGGCGGCGGGCCTCGCCTATAGCCCGGGCTATTCAGCTATGTGCCTGTTCAGCCTGTGGGACCCAGAGGCCGTGTGTCTATTCAGTCCAGTCCAGTCCAGTGCCGTGGTCGGTACCAGTCCAGTCAGTCCGCTGCGGGTATACCCCAGCTGCAGTCTGTTTATCTATTCATTCTGGACTTGGAACATTTTCCAGTACGTGTGTGTCGAGTCTGCGGCGGTGCTGCGCCTGTCCCTTGCAGATCCATCTCACCATCTCCACCCTCCACCTTCATCATCATCCCTCCCTTCTCCACTGCGCGTGGACCACCACCCTGGCTGTCCTGTTACAAACGCTAACCCTCCAGAAGGCTCGAGGTCGCAGTGACCCCGAGTCCTGAAAGAGATCAAACTCGGTGTACTCTAGCGATTTATAGTCCCACAGCGCCATCTATTTATAGTCCCTGAACGAGATCCCGATAGCCAGAGATAGCCAGAGACTGCTGCTGTGGTGCGCACCCTGCTGCTTGCTGCTGGAGGGAGGGGGGGGACCACTCCCCAAGACGAATATGCAGACGAGACCAGAAGTCCATGTACCGAGCTGGATCCAAACTGAGAACAACTCGCCCTCAGACTGAAAAAACAACGGAAAAAAAAATCAGCCCATGTGGCTGAATGGTACAAAAATTTTGGTGTTAATAAACAGGCAAGTTCAAATCCTGATGGAATCAAATGGATGGAATCACGTTAAGGGCTACCCCATTTTTTGACACAAAGAAAAGAAAAGAAAAGAAAAGAAAAGCGGGGACAAAAAAAAGAAACAAAACAAGTGCCAGTCATCCTATGTGTCCAAGCCAACTACTTGTTGATCAAGTTTTTTTTTCCTTTTTTTTTCCGAAAATGTTGATCAAGTTTTCAACACTGCAACAACCGTTTGTGGCTTTTTTTTTTTTTTTTAATGAGGCCCGATGGACCACGGATCAGATAATAAACTGATCAGAACAGATACAATGCACTTGATCGTAGCCAAAAAAAAAAGGACATGTAGGAGCATTAGCAGGAGAGGGAACCAAAAAGAAAAAAAAAAAAAAAGAAGGTGAGGAGCAGATCAAAAATGTGGGGCCCGTGGGCCCTGGTCGCCAGGGGAGGTTTGCAAACTTTGCATTGTCTTTTCTGTTCTTTTTCTTTTTTCGTTTTGGTTTGAAAGGGGATAGCCAGGACAACGTTGCTAGCTGTGCTGTACTGTGCTGTGCTCCCTCCAATTTGTTGGGAGCCACCTACAATCCCCTACATGGAGCCAGCTTGTCTAGATCTCTTCCCATCTGCAAGAGAAAAAGAACATTAAATCTGAAGACGCACCTTAGAAAGTAGAAGTCAGCACACTTGTAACGTCTCTCTCTCTCTCTCTCTCTCTCTCTCTCTCTCTCTCTCTCTCTCTCTCTCTCTCTCTCTCTCTCTCACACACACACACACACACACACACACACACACACACACACACACACAGCCCAGAAGTCGACTAGGAAGAGACATCGGAAGTGTGCTCTCGATTTAAGGCGACTGCGTTTCAGGCTCTAGAGTTGGTGTTGGCAGATTCAATGTCCTTTTCCTTCGGAGGCGGGGGAAGAGCGGGGGTGGGGGAGCTCAACAATGATGGGGTGGTTGGGCGGTTGATGACTAATGGATTAGTCGGCTCGATGAACCGACTGATAGACTCGTAGGCAGCATGATCATTTGACTGATTAATTCATTGATTGATTTTTAGCTTTATCCATCTATTCATCAATGGAGTGATGGAGTGATAGATGGGGAAGAGTGATGGAGTGATAGATGGGGTGAAGTGATGGAGTGATAGATGTTGGTTGGAGTGATGGCGAAGTGGGATGATGAGGAGTAATGGAGCGTGCACAAGTGGTTAACAGGTACCCCCACTTTTCAGGCCCGGGATTACTCCCCCAGCCCTGAAAAGTGCATTTGGGGATATTTTCTCTTAGTTTTTACTTATTGTTGTGTTTCACCCCGTTTTATTTTTTACCCTTAACTCCTCCCCTGAAAATTTACGGCCCCTGTTAACCGCTTCCTAGATTGTGGCAAAGTCGTGGAGGGATTGACTGCCGGCATAATGGAGTGATGGAGTGGCTGCGTGTTAAAGGAGTAATGGAGATGGAGTGATGGAGTGATGGAGTGATGGAGTGATGGAGTGACGTGGTTATAGTTTTGATGGAGTGACCGTCTAGGTAGATAGGATTGGATTGGATTGCATAGGCGATACCATTGATCAATTGATTTGATTGATCGGCATTGATTGATTTGTCGACTGATTGATTGCTTGATTGATCCATCGACTTGGTGAGACATGCATTTCGTTGGTTTCAAAATAAATTGATTGATTGATTGAGTTGATTTGAGTTGAGTTGAGTTGAGTTGAGTTGAGTTGAGTTGAGTTGTATGAATCGATTTGAGTTGATTTGATTTGCTTTGATATTACTTGATTGATGGCTCGATCGGATGGCTGACTGGTTGATTGGCTGAGCGATTGATACCCTTGATGAACTCGATTGTGCAGGCCTCGCGTCTACTACTCCCACCCGTGCTCTCTTTCCCCTTTCTTCGCTTTGAGCAGTTACTACTTCCCCGATTGACTCCCTTAACATGACATCCCATCCCATAGACTTAATGCTTCATCCAGTTAGCTAACGTGCAAAACAGGAAAATAGTAGAGAAGGTAGGCATCGTACTGACGAAACCTCAAACACAGTAATACTATCTCACAAAAAATCAGCTTTTATGTCGATCATGCTCAATTTCATGCATAAAATTGAGGATTTAATGTCTTCATCCAGTTTAGCTAACGTAAAAATTAGCTAGGGAAACTAGTAGCGAAGATGGGGATTGTACTGACGAAACCTACAATAATATTTCACAAAAAATCATTTTTTTATGTCGATCGCGCTCTGTAATGAACCCAGATCGTGAAACAGTTGCCAACAATGCAAGTCCAGATAAATGTCCATCGGCTGATGATTACTCATAGTCCAAATCGTAACCAGACAGAATGAGGTGAGGTAATCATACACAGACGAAGAGAGGGGAGGGAGAAGAGACAAAGGAGAGGAGTATAATGCCCACTCCTGCTGAAGTGACCACCAGGTACGTATCCTCGAACTCTCCACAGTCCTGATCTCCTCCTAAAGTGACGACGAAACAGAACAGCAATGCCGATCCTGTAGTCCCCACAATAGAACACGTGGACAGCAAAGCCACGTCAGCCAAATGAAACACGTGGCAGCAGCCACATCAGCGAAGGCGCATGGCAGCTGCCACGTCAGCATGCCAAGAAGACAGGAGCAAGCCGGCCACCATGCCAGAATAGCAGCACCTCGCCAAGTTACAATGCCAGCAGCGTCGAGCCAGCGTCGCAGCGTCAAGCCAGCATCAAAGTCAATGCGTGAAGTCAGCATCAAGGCAAGACAGAATGAATGTCAAAGCCAGGAAGTCAACTCTTATGTAGTGTTGACGCGGGGTCTGGACCCCGGATGCTGTATCCCTCGGCCGTCCAGATCTCAATGCGAATGAGGGCTCAGATCGGCCTGAAACCGAATTCCCTCCGGCCTGGATGCTGTCTGGGTACCTGCGCACAACAAGTGAGTGTATCCAACCCAGGGCCTGGGTGCGGTACCTTTGACTCTACAGTTGACTTTGACTCTTGAATTTCCTGTGTGCAGCGTTCGGTCACACAGCCACACTCGACAGACTCAGGCCCAGCCACACTCGACAGACTCAGGCCTGGGCGTGTCTTGGTCACACAGCCCAGCGCAGACCTGAGATCTCAGGTCTGCGTGGCCTGGGGCTGAGTTCTGGGCCCCAGGCTACTTCTGAACAGGGTTATTACAGCTCAATTTCATGCATCCCACGACTGCGAAAATCTCATCCTCAGGGCTGTTGCAGCTCAGCTCAGCCATTGGCTGATGGAGGGATTGATCATGGCACTCGGTCGTGGAAATCCTCGAGTAACTATCTGCAGATAGAGTAGGGTAGGGGGTTAAGGGGGGTTTGGGGGGGGGGATTGKGGGGGGGAAGAATTAAAAGTATAATAAATAAAAAAAAACGAGAGGAAGAGAGGAGGCGGGCCATATGTATACAACAAAAGAAAACTTACTGTGCTTCAGCATTCTCTTCTGCAATTCGGCGTTGCTCTGCCATATGAGCTTCATACTTTTCCCTCTCTATCCTCAGCGCCGTGTAATATCTGTGCACCAGATAATAGGTACACACCCCTGCCGTCGATACCATGATGATTGCCTTCTTATGATTCTTCACCCATTTCCTGCGATCAAACGTATGTGATGATCCAGAAGACAAAGAGAGAGAGAGAGAGAGAGAGAGAGAGAGAAGAGAGGAGAGAGAGAGAGAGAGAGAGAGAGAACAACACAACATTATTTACGTAATTGGTTAACTCATCTTGAGTACTTGTCAGAGTTCTAGGCGGAGTCCATGGTAGCGCGCTAGTGCACTTGTGTGCTAGTCGCCACCATCCCCTGCCTTTCCCCCCCCCTCCCCCCCCCCACCACAGTCACTAACAGGGGTCCCATGCAATCATGCACTGCGCAAGCTTGATAAGGAGGCGAGCCTACACTCTTCCCCCGAACAGAACCCACCCTCATCATGACTGCATGGGACCGAGAACATACCCTTATATACATCCATGATGAGTGTACGTTTTTTTTGGGTGGAAGACCGTAGTTCTTGCTAGATAGAGGAGTAGAGCCACCTACATGTATTTCCGATAATATATAATAATACAATAATATATTGTCACAATGTCATATATATATATTGTCACAAGAACATCAGAGCGCAAATGCGAAAAAAAGAAAAAAAGGAAAAAAAGAAAGAAAAACAGGAAAAAATGAATTCAGGTTTTTATCTTCTTCCTTATTATAACTCCCCCTGTTCAGAACCTCTAGCGTACAAGGCCGCCCACGTGGATATATATATCTAGGCTACCAGCCGGGCCGCCCGGGTTCCGGGTGGCCAGCCCGTACAAGGACCAGGGAAGGGCCCAGCAAAAAAAAAAAAAAAAAAAAAATCTGAAAAAAAAGTATGTTATGCAGAAAAATAAACTAAACAACTTTTGCCTCAGGGTTACATCGAAATTCTTCACCAAATTTAGAATAAAAAATCATATTCGATTTTTTTTATTTTTTTTTTTGGGCCGGCCGGGCAAGTGACCCTGGGCCATTCTGGTAGCCTAGATATATATATATCGTCACATGAATACCAGAGCGCAAAGGCGAAAAAAAAACAGAAGAAAACAAGAAAACAAATAATTCGTTTTTTTATCTTCTTTCTTCCAACTCCCCCTGTTCACAACCTCTTGCGTACAAGGCCGCCCACGTGGATGTAGGTTGAGCGGCGGCTGCCCCCACCCCCGTGTGTCATATCGACCCACTTGCACACAGCCAAAGGCCAAAGCGGCAAAGAAAAGAGGAAGGGAACAGCCAAATACAACAAAACAGGGGGCAACAAGCAATAGCACCAAAAACGGATCCTAGATGATATATACATATATGATATCATGTGATCCTGGTTGGTTTTGTCCCGTCCCGTCGTTTGGCCTGTGGACAGGGCCGGTGCTTGCATGTGGGACTTGTCATTGGGATTTGTTTTGTTGCCCCCTGTTCTGTATTATTTGGCTGTTCCCTTCCTCTTAACTTTGCCTCTTTGCCTTCTCGCTGTGTGCAAGTGGGTCGATATGACACACGGGGGTGGGGGCAGCCGCCGCTCAACCTACATCCACGTGGGTGGCCGTGTACGCAAGAGGTTCTGAACAGGGGGAGTTATAAGGAAGAAGATTAAATCATGAATTCATTTTTTCCTGTTTTCCTTCTTTCTTTCTCCCTTTTCCCTTTTTTTCGAGTTTGCGCTCTGATATGCTTGTGACGATATATATTTATATATAAATGAGGGGAAAAAAACACAGCCTAAGAAGAGAAAATATGTAAGGCATGCGAGAGGTCATGGATCGTCATTCAACATCTGTTAAAAATTGGAACGATACAGAGACTGAAGACTTGCATGGCCCCTGCGTAAGGATGACATGAACAAATCGAGAAAT